AGTATTTAAAAAGATGGGTTATTTATTACGTGTACTAAATCATGGTACTTTTTTTTCTATTTTGTATTTTTTTGGATTAATATTTTTAAATGTTTTTTTTCTCTGTCTTGTTTTTGTATATATATATATCTATATTTAGATTATAAATTCATAGTTGATTCTTCCCTTACATATTCTATTTTTATTTGTATATATATGTCGATTTTATTCCGATTAATAATATTGTTCCTTTTTTAGCATAGCATATACAGTATAGTTTGACATAATAAGTTTGACATAATAAATTAATAAGAAAAATGATTTCATATTTAAAGGCTTCGTTAATTAATGTGTAACATATAAGATAAGTTCACCCACGGAATAATATTACAGGTAGTTCGACGAAACCACTCTCAACCCTGGCTTCCATAACTTTATAGTCGCTGTTGATGCCGTTGTTGTGGTTTCGGTACGAATCGATTATGTATGAATCATATTTAGTTAGACGTGATTGACTCCCTTTGAAAATTTTGCACCATTTGTAACGATTTGGGAGAAGAAGAGTTTTTAGTCTTAAATATTGGCAAGGAGGTTTGTAATACAGAATTGTTGCCTATTTTATTATCTTTTGATAACATTTGTCTGTAAAGTATTGTATTGCTGCTTTTTGTTTGATTTTTTTGTTTCAGATTTCGAGTGTATTGAACTTTACCGAAACCTTGCTAAACACGTTTTCAGGTACGTTACGGATTTAGCTCTGGGGAATTATACCTAATGAAGTACATACTGTATCCCTACAGGGCCAAAACACAATTTTGGGGAAGGAGCCTTAGCCTTTATCTTGGGGAAAACCGGAAAATATGCGTGATTTTGCCCATTTTATTTTTTATTACGCCTCACTCACCAATATTTTGAATGTTACACATCAATATTCGGCTCGTCACATAAATCATGGAAATTCCATCATGTTCTAAACATAGAATAACCCTTACTTATGAGGCCTCATATGGGGTACCGAAATTATCCATTATTTTATATGAAGAGAAGTAGTTCCTGTACATAAAATCTAACCCATTATAATAATACAATTTTATTATATCAGACCTATTTTTCATTTACAATTGTTGAACAGACCATTACCTAAGAGATAAATAGATGTACTTCAGGAAATAGAGCGTAGACTAAACTCGTGTATCTATTACCCGGTACCGTTACCCCAACGCATTCATATGCAGTAACATGCTTGTATGCATGATATTTTACGCATCAAAGCCATAAAATTATTATTTATAGTAATATTGGCCAACATTCTGATAATTAAACAATTTTTCATCTCATTGCCTACTTATTGTAAACAGGTGGTATTAGTGTAAAACCCTTTAAAAAGCCTCACGTGTAAGTATTTGTGCGAATGCGCGCAAGGACGGAATCCCCCAGAGAAAACAAGGTCACGTTTTCACGACGCACAGGTGAAAGTGATTTAGAATGAGACTTTATATACGTACTGCCGAATTGACAATTAGATTTTGTCTCGTTTATGTATCTGCTTGATTTGAAATGAATTTTTGAAGAATGCAGGTAAAAATCAAGAGTTTAAATGAAAAATACCGCCGGTACTGCTTCTGTACGGGAACTGCTCGCATGCCAGTAGAATTAAAACAATCGTTGTTGTATCTGCCATAATAGAGGTATTTTCTGCAGAAACTTTTGTATTTACTTTATTTTTTTTTGTATTGAATTATTCATACAGTGATATTTAATTATTTTCTTACAAAGAAATAATTGTTATATTACACTTTAGTTTTATACAAATAAATACCAAAAACATACATATTGTTACTACATGTATGCCCTTTAGGTGGATTCCCCAGAGTTGTATGTTTACAGAAAGTACTGGAGAACTGCGTTTAGCTAGATTTTGGAATGACTTAATTTTTATCTTTTCAGTTTTCACGTGAGCAATGCAAACAATACAATCAAATTACATAAATGAACTGTATTGAACTCTCAGTGTATTATATTTGTCATTTGACAATAAGCTTGATACCCTGAAAGGGTCATCAGAATACCAGTCAACAATATACATTTCCTATCTAGAGATAAAAGAAATTGTCTGATGATCCAATCTGAATCACTGCAGTGAGTCATGATGTATATTATTGAATATAATCTTTCCCGTTCTTTAAACAGAAACGTTAAAATGTATATTATATGTCTCTGCTTTAATATAAACAAGCTGATGCAATGCCCGATCAGGCTTATGACATAAAAATCACATTTCTAGAAAAATAATAGAGATATTTCTTTTAAAGTTAGTTTGTTTATTGGGCATAATATATGACATAAACAGAAAGAAAAATGATAAAACTAAGAGTTTGCTCTTTGTCTTGTTGTTGACATTTTGACGATTGATGGTGGTCATTTTAAGACCAGCAAAAATATTAGTCATAGCCTGTAACAATACCGTATTTACGATATCTTACAGGACGGTTTATTAAAAAGAAACAGTTTGTTAAAATTTGTAATATTTATGATATGAGATGTATAAAGAGCTATAGATGTATTTTAATAATGATATGATTATTTGGAAAGCCAAGGGGTATTATCTGTCAAATTAACTCATATATGTATATTTATTATGGAGGATATAAAAGAGAGATAACTCTTTATTTGACTTATAAGGATCACCATCATTTGGTAGGGATTATTACTTAATCTATTATTACACAGAAAATACCATTGTATGAGATTTTTTGTGCAAACACTGACTGTTTAAGCTTCACGGTGAATTAGTAAATATCTCCTAAAAAAGATTAAATTTGTATGAAAACATCCGTTACAATGTGGAAATATACCGTTTAATTATGACTGCTACTTATAGCAATGTTTGTTGTTTTGAATGATATTGACGTATAGATGATCAGAAGACGAAGTTTCCTAGCAAATGGAAATTGTACTTCCGATTTCGCCACAATGAGGTTTTAGATTTTTATGGTTAGTTGTCTTGACACCAAAATAAGATCTAGAGTTGATAAGAAAACCAATTTATTGATAAAATGCCACTATTTCTGTTTTCATGAAATTTATTAAATGCAGCTTTAATGTTTCGAAAGGATAAACAGATTTTTTCACTAAGTAAATATATTTCAACAAATGTTTACTAACAGTTGCTTCTTCCTTTCTTTATTTTAAAACAGTGACAACCATGTGGCACTAGCAGAAAAGCATCAACAACAACAAAAACACTGTTGAGCAGCGGTACAGATACAATATGTGTGTGTGGAGAAATATGTTGTGATTTGTAGAAGCATGTGTGAAACCAGTCTTGTTAGAAAACTATTGCTTTGGAAATTGTGATCATTTATTTTCCTTCCTGAATTTTCTAAGTGCACTAAAACATCATTTTTACAAACCAGTGAGTTACAGTTTTATTAGTGAATATTCCTGTATTGGAAAATGGGAACTCACAGTTATGAAGAAATTATTTTATTAATCATTGTAGAAAATTAGTAACCTCAAAATACACTTGTCCATACTGTGTGTCAGTGTGTTTTAAATCATTTTCTTTTAGATTCAATCTTCAAGTATATATAACAATGTTGACTACTGAGGAAAATTTCAGATGCTTACTTGCGGATAACAGTAGTCTGAAAATACATATGACAATCGCAAACTAGTTGTCCTAAAACACATAGAACAATACACACTGATGATAAGAATCATGAATGTGAATATTCAACTTGGCACAAAGGCAATCTTAAAAAGCACATGAATATATACATTCGCGAAAAATTATGAATGTGAAAATTGTGAATATTTCCACTTTGCACAGAAGTAATCTTGAAACGCACATGCAAACACATACTGGTGAGAAGAGTTATAAATGTGAACTTTGTCACCGTTCATTTTCTCGCAGTGGGGATCTTAAAAGACATATGAAAATACACACTGGTGAGAGAACTTATCAATGTGCAATATGCCACCGTTCATTTTCTCACAGTAGTAGTCTTAAGAAACATAATATGATAATGCACACTGGTGAGAAGAATCATGGATGTGAAATATGTCATCGTTCATTTACTTATGGTAGTAATCTTAAAAGACATATGAAAATACACACTGGTGAGAAGAATCATAAATGTCAAGTATGTCATAGTTCATTTTCTCACAGTTGGGATCTTAAAAGACATATGACAATACACACTGGTGAGATGAATCATGGATGTGAAATATGTCATCGTTCATTTACTGATGGTAGTAATCTTAAAAGACATATGAAAATACACACTGGTGAGAAGAATCATAAATGTGAAATATGTCATACTTCATTTTCTAATAGCAGTAATCTTAAACAACATCTGACAATACACACAGGTGAGAAGAATCATAAGTGTGAAGTATGTCTACGTTCATTTTCTCGAAGAGGAGATCTTAAAAAACATATGACAATACACACTGGTGAGAAGAATCATAAATGTGAAATATGTCATCGTTCATTTTCTCAGAGAAGTAATCTTAAAACACATATGATAGTACACACTGGTAAGAAGGGCCATAAATGTGAAATATGTCATCGTTCATTTTCTTATAGAAGTAATCTTAACCAACATATGACAATACACACTGGTGAGAGGAATCATAAATGTACAATCTGTCATAGTTCATTTTCTCAGAGCAATGGTCTTAAAGAACATATGACAAAACACACTGGTGAGAAGAATCATAAATGTGAAATCTGTCATAGTTCATTTTCTAACAACAGTAAGCTAAAAAGACACATGACAATACACACTGGCGAGAAGAATCATGAATGTCAAATATGTCATCATTCATTTTCTCAAAGAGGTAATCTTAAGCAACATATGACAATACACACTGGCGAGAAGAATCATAAATATGAAATATGTCATCATTCATTTTCTCATAGCAGTTCTCTAAAACAACATATGACAATACACACTGGTGAGAAGAATCATAAATGTGAAATATGCCATAATTCATTTTCTCGAAGTGGAGATCTTAAAAAACATATGACAATACACACTGGTGAGAAGAATCATACTGGTGAGAAGAATCATAAATGTGAAATCTTTCATAGTTCATTTTCTCAGAGCAGTAATCTTAAACAACATATGACAATACACACTGGTGAGAAGAATCATGAATGTAAAATATGCAATCGTTTATTTTCTCAGAGCAGTAATCTTAAACAACATATGACAATTCATACTGGTGAGAAGAATCATACATGTGAAATATGTCATAATTCATTTTCTCGGAATGCAGAGCTTAAAAAACATATGACAATACACACTGGTGAGAAGAATCATAAATGTGAAATCTGTCATAGTTCATTTTCTCAGAGAAGTAATCTTAAACAACATATGACAATACACACTGGTGAGAAGAATCATAAATGTGAAATATGTCACCATTCATTTTCTCATAGCAGTTCTCTTAAAAAACATATGACAATACACACTGACGTGAAGGATCGATCTTTTAAGGGTCGTCAAAGCCGACATAGGCATATGAATATCCATACTAACAAAATTATATATAAATGCAAATATTGCATCTGCCAGTGCTCCAACAGTCGTGAGATGAAAAAACATACGAGAAGGCATAAAAAAGAGAAACTTTATAAATGTGATACATGTGATAAATCATTTTTAAGGAAAAAAAATCTTGAATCGCACGTTGAGATGCACATTTAAGTAGACAAAAGTGCATGCAAACCGTTTTAGCACTATATCTATCATGCATATCGTATGAAATGCTATTAACTCTGGTATACTGCTGAGACCGGAAAACATAAAAACACAGCAAAAAAAAAAAGAAAAGAAAAAAACAGGTTACACAAATTATGTACAGTACTAAAAACTGTTGAATTTGAATTTAACATTCTTCTGTTTTGTGTTAGGTTTAAAGATTTACCATATAGATAATTACAAATGTAAATATACTATGTATATTTTTCTTTAACCTCTGTTATTATGTCACAAATTTCTTCGTCTTTCCATTTGTATTAGTATGATTTTGTTTGTTTGTTAGATTAGGTTTTACGTCACATCGACACAGTACAGGTCATTACACGACGTTCCAGCTTTACTGGTGGCCGAAGACCTCAGGTGTCCTTCCTTGCATTATTTCAGGCACGAACGGGCACCTGAGTAGAACCACCGACGTTCCGTAAGCTAGCTGGATAGCTTCCTCACATTAAAGAATCCAAAGTCCCTGTCGAGATTCAAACCCACAGCGGTTAGTGGCAAGTGGTTTGAAGTCAACGACCTTAACCACTCGGCCACGGAAGTATAATTTGTAAACCAAAGACAGTTCCTATACAATTATGATTTGTATACCAAAGGCAGTACCTAATAAGGCTATACAATTACGATTTGTATACCAAAGGCAGTACCTATACAATTACCTGTTTTTCCACATCTTTTCTATTTATAATTGTAATATATTATAATTATCATGGTTTACACGTGGCCAAAATATGTAACATTCATTATCATGGATTTACTGGGGTCCAAAATATGTAATTGTTATTATCATGGTTTTACTTGTCTCCAAAATATAAATCTTTATTTTCTCGGTTTACTCGTGTCCTAAACATGTAATTAATTGTTATTATCGTGGTTTTACTAGAATTCAAAATATGAAATTGTTATTATCATGCTTTACTCATCTTTCCAATTTGTATTGTTTTGTCTTATGCTTCGCTAAGTAATGGATGGATACAGTACGAGTTTTTCTTCAAAAGTGTCTTCTTACAGACATAAGAAGACAGTTTGCTAGGATAAACAACAAATTTCCCGAGGCGAAGCCGAGGATAAATTGTTGTTTGTCCTTGCGAACTGTCTTCTTCTGTAAGAAGATACTTTTGAAGAAAAAACGAGTAATTGTATCCGACTTACACGACGTTTAAGTAAAAAGAACAGATCAATTAATAAACACATTTAATTATGAATAAATCTAATTGAAATTAAATGTATGTTCAGGTTGAAAATATCAAACTAGAGAAAATATTTGCATGGCCTTTTAGCTTTTGTAAGCAAATTGTATTCGCTTGGAATTTTCGTGCGCTTGTTATGCTCCCCGCAAATTTCGGGGAAGCATATAGTCGTCGTGTTGTCCGTCCGTCAGTCCGTCTGTACGTACGTCCCGAATTCGTGTCCGGCCCATAACTTTGTTATTTGAAGTCGGATTTTAAAAATATTTCACAGAAATGATCACCATATTGAGACGACGTGTCGCGTGCAACATTTGGGTCGCTACCTTGAAGGTCAAGGTCACAGCATGACCTTGCAGCAAAATCGTGTCCGGTCAATAAATTCATTATCTGAAGTCGGATTTAAAAATATTTCACAGAAATGATCACCATATTGAGACGACATGTCGGGCGTAACATTTTGGTCGCTACCTTGAAGGTCAAGGTCACAGCATGACCTTGCAGCAAAATCGTGTCCGGCCCATTACTTTGTTATTTGAAGTCGGATTTTAAAACTTTTTCACAGAAATGATCACCATATTGAGATGACGTGTCGCGCGCAACATTTGGGTCACTACCTTGAAGGTCAAGGTCACAGCATGACCTTGCAGCAAAATCGTGTCCGGTCCATAACTTTGTTTTTTGAAGTCGGATTTTAAAAATATTTCACAGAAATAATCACCATATCGAGACGATGTGTCGCGTTCAACATTTGGGTTGCTACCTTGAAGGTCAAGGTCACAACATGACCTTGCAGCAAAATCGTGTCCGGTCCATAACTTCATTATTTGAAGTCGGATTTTAAAAATATTTCACAGAAATGATCACCATATTGAGACGATGTGTCGCGCCCAACATTTGGGTCGCTACCTTGAAGGTCAAGGTCACAGCATGACCTTGCAGCAAAATTGTGTCCGGCACATAACTTCATTATTTGAAGTCGGATTTTACAACTATATCACAGAAATGATCACCACAATGAGACATTGTGTCGCGCGCAACATATTTGGGTCGCTACCTTGAAGGTCAAGGTCACGGCATGACCGTGCAGCAAAATCGTGTCCGGCCCATAACTTCGTTACTGGAAGTCGGATTTAACAACTATTTCACAGAGATGATCACCATATTGAATCGACGTGTGGCATGCAACATTTGGGTCGCTACCTTGAAGCAAAATCATGTCCGGCGCATAACTTCGTTATTTGAAGTCGGATTTTACAACTATTTCACAAAAATGATCACCATATTGAGACAATGTGTCGTGCACAATATTTGGGTTGTTTTTAGCTCGACTTTTTTTTTTTGAAAAAAAAGTAGAGGTATTGTTATAGTCAGGTCGGCGTTGCCGTTGCCGTTGCCGTCCGAAAACTTGTACCTGGATCATAACTTTTTTATTTCTTGGTGTATTGTCTTCATACTTGGCCACAACAACCCTTGGGACAAGACCTTTCAGTAGACCACACTAACCTTGACCTTCATCCATAAATGACCTTGACCTTCAAGGTTAAAAGTCCAATTTTTGCTTGTTCATGCTGTTATTGGCTGTAACTTTGTTATTTTTGAATGGATTGTCTTCAAACTTGAACATAATAATCTTCAAGGATATCCCTTAAAAATAACCAGTCAGACCTTGACCTTCACTCATCAATGACCTTGACTTTGAAGGTCAAATTATTGAAATTTTTATTTTTTTGGCTAATTTTGGCTGTAACTTTGTTATTTTTGAATGGATTGTCTTCAAACTTGAACATAATAATCTTCAAAGATAACTGTTAAAAATATACCGAAAGACCTTGACCTTCACTCATTAATGACATTGTCTTTGAAGGTCAAATTATTGAAATTTTCATTGTTTTGGCGGTAACTGACTGTAACTTTGCTATTTTTGAAGGGATAAACTTCATATTATAACAGAACATTCTTAAGGACCAGACCTTGTTGTTTATCAAACCCAAATTTGCTTGGGCTCTTAAATGACCTTAACCTTGAAGGTTATATTCAGGGCTCACGCTGTCGGTCGCCATAGTCGCCATTTGCGATTATTTTATAAGATTGGCGATTATTTTTGCATTTTGGCTACAAAATCTGGCGATTATTTTTTACTTCCAACAGTGTTTATATAAGGTGTAAAAATCGATAATGAATGCAGTAGACCCAATTAACACCAGCGGGGTGCATTTAATTGAGTGTCAACTTTTTACCGGTCACATGCTGCTAACTATTTTGCCCGAGGTGATAAAATACATGCGAGATGTATAATTGTGTAAGTACTTTAAAGATATTGTCCAGCATTATAATAGCCATCAAATATCAGTCAATGAGCCAATAAATCGTCTTAAAATTGATTAACTGGATATTGAGCAACCCAAAATTTACAGGAAAATTGCAGTGATGGCAAACTTTGATTTTTTCGTTTTAAGCTGATTGACTAAATTGCCAGTGGTAAACAATGATAAAATATTTAAAAAATATTAACTTCCAAACAACTATTTGCACAACAACCAAAATTGTGAATATTTCTTCAGAAAACAGGAAAAAATCCGTTTGTCACATATTTTCGCGACACCGATAATTTTGGTATATATTTAAAGGTGAAATAAGCTATGTTCTGTCTAAAAATCTTTACTACTATGGCAGAAAATTTGTATTACATTGGTGATGATGATATTTTTCAGTAAATTATTCAGAAAAAAGGCTGCATTCTGTGAATGAATATGCAAACTTGTGTTATTTCTATAGGCTAATATGACCTAGATCTACTCCAGTTCTGTGTGAAATGTGGAAATTGACAGTGGTTATAGCTGACAAAATTTGATAAGAACAAAAAAAAAAGTTATCTGATAACAGCATTATGTAAAGTTATAATGAATATTTAATATTATTGTTATACAGTAATTATACTAATTATAACGTTTTTATTCTGTTCTATAATAACAATTAAAGTTGTGGTTCTATTTAAAAAAAAAGGTAGTTATCAATATACACAAATGTATCAGTTTATTTGAGAATCCTTATAAAACTGAAAGATATAAAAAGTAATGTTTATTTAATCAACTGCTTATGTTGTTAATCGCTAATTCGTGAATAGTCCGCTGAACTTTTGGCTATTATTTTTTTAAGTTGAAATTATTGGCTATTATTTTATTTGAGCCAGTGTGAGCCCTGTTATATTACTGAATTTTCTCAGATTGTGCATTTATTGGTGTGTGTGTATGTATAGTATATGTATTATATATATATATATTGTGTATATACACTTGATATTAGATGGCCAAAGGTCAAGGCCAGTGTAACTTTAAACAAAAAATTGTCCAACCAATTAATACATGTAGATAACTTTTTGACCAAAGTCATTTAAATTGTGAGGTTGGTCATGAAAGGTCAAGGTCATTTTAATCTTGACTTGAAGACTTGGATCTACATTCATTTATAAGATTTGATGTTGCGTTTCGTCATAACCGTACATGAGGCTTTTTTATATGGTGATGATATAGTAAAAGGTCAAGGCCAATATGGTTATAACACAAATATGCTTGTTTGCCTATAATTAAAGAATGCTTAGACTTACAGCGTTACGATATGGTATAGCTCGAGCTGCTGGTGGACATGATCACAGGGACTAAACACAGAGTTGTGATAGTGTGAAATTGATTATAGAAAAAAAATGTCAATACAGATATTTCCTTCTACCATAAAATACCTTAATACATAATAATATAAATATAACCCTTTTGATTGTTTAAATTAAAAATAATTCTTCAATTTTGACTGCACGCTCTTGGTTGACTTGCGTTGTCAAATGCTCCTCAATTTTGATTCTTTAACGAGTAAGTTAATATCAGAAATGGTTTTGTGCTATGTCTCCATTGAGATGGTGTCTCTTTAGCAAATTAATATACATGTATACATTAATTGTTTATTAGCTATTCCTTTGTTTTCATATTCTAATTAACTAATGTAAATTATCAATATTCCTCAATAC